TTCCCCTTTAAAAAAATGCCTTTCACTTTGCCTGAAGTACTTGTGGTTCATATTGTTGGGGCTCAACAAAGGCACTTTGCAAAGTTTTTGGGCATTTCTCAAATTCAGGGACTAGTTTTTTTCCAGCTCCATGCCAGCTCAGGTGCCTGAGCTTTATGGGCAATACCTGCTGGTAACCGGTTTTACAGCTTTAACCCTGCCTTAAATACAGCTTTTGACTTCCTCAGCACCTTCCTCAGGTTGGATCTTTAGTGTAAGGGGAACAGGAAAAGCTGGGCATACCTAGAGGACTGATTAAGGTTACAAATCGTTCGTTCCTTTGTGTCACCTTCTTGATTGGTCTTAAGAGAGGGGTTCCATCCAGTAAAGCTTTTACAGTGTGCACTTCCTTCATGCATCCTTCTGAAATCTTGCTGAAGTGGGAGAAGGCACGGTAATAAAGTCTCCTTTCAGTCGCGTTCGCCTCTGGATGCCCTCAGAAACAGATTAACGATTACAACTGTCGTTCGTCATCTCCTGCGGCGGGGATAATTTTTCAGCTTCCCCGCCTAACTGCCAGCAATGGCTTTCCTGGGAACCCAGCTCTGAGCCGGGCAGCATTTCGAGACCAGCCAAGGTCTGCTAAGAACTGCCCCAGCTGGGCAGGAGACGGCAGGGGGCGAGCAATGCGTGCAGCAGAAACGCAGCGCGCTCAGGTGCGCCGCCCGAGAACCAAGCAGTTTCGGTAAGGCAACTGCGCAGCCACGCCAGAGTTGAGGGAGCCCAGCCTAGCCTCCCCGCTGAGAGCGGGCGGGCTTGCGGTGGGGCTATCCCGGCGCCTTTCCGAGCATCAGCAGCGACGCCGCGAGTCTCCTCAAGCGAGCCCTCCCCGCGGTCCCTTAGAAGGGGAACCAACCATTTCGTGAGCCCCGCCGCTCGCCAACGTCGCCAGCCGCGGCTTCCCTCCGGCTAAGAGCAGGGCGAGGGCGGCAGAGTGACGTAGTTCTTCCCCATTGGCCCTGGCCGGCAGCACGTGCTCAAGACATCTATATCAAGACAGCCCCGTCCCGCAGCCCGCTTCTCCGGCTCCGCTCGGTGCCCTCCTAGCAGCCTCGCTTTGCTCGGATCTTCTTCTCGTTCGCGGCAGCTGAACTCTTAGCATCTCCAGCTCGGCGCAATGGCTAACCTAGAAGCTTTCATAGGCAAATGGCGCCTGATCTCCAGTGAAGGTTTTGAGGATTATATGAAGGAACTGGGTAAGAGGGACGGGAATTGGGAGTATTGTCAAAAAGAAAAAGGAGAAAAAAAAAAAGAATGTAAGGGAGGAGGCTGGAGAAAAGAATCCCCCTTCCCACAAAGGAGAACGACAGACCTTGGATTCCTCTTGAACAAACATTAGAAAGAAAAAAGTGGGTAGAAAGTAGGGGAGTCAATAAGAAGAACAACTGGATAAATGTTTCTGTAGGAGTATAAGAAATTACATTTTCTTACGTATATGTTGTATTCTTGTGCTCTTGCATGCGTCTTTCATTCAGAGATGCAGGCTGCAGTTTCTTGGTGAATGCCTGGATCTCCTGAGTGTAACTGGCCAAGAACTGTCATCCAAAGCTGTGTAGATCACCCCACCTAGTGCCCGGCACCTTTTTTTAAAGAGAGTGGTGGCTTTGTCTGTTTAAAATGGCTGCTTTGGATTAAAATGAAATATTAATTTTCAGCTGTGCCTCAAAGTATCCCTCTGTTTTGTGCTCTGTGTGTGTATGTATATATATGTGTGTGTATATATACATACGCACATGCTGTATGCCACGCATGCAGTTCTTGGCATTTTGTTCAGTTGCTAAGCAAAATGTAGTGTTTTGAGAGCATGCAGCCCTATTTTTCTAAAATGTGCACCTGGTTTTGTCTGGCTAGATTGCAGTGGAGGAGGATGAAGAAGAAATGGGCTTTAATGAATTTTTCTCTCCTGGAAGCCTATAAACTAGGGATCTGGGATTATGAGCTCTGTGTGTGTGTGTGTGTGTGTGTTTGTTTACCTCTTAAAATGCTAGGATTCTCTGTCCAAGGTCTGTAAAGGCATTTTCAAATAGCTTTTAGTAACGAGCACACAAACAGACATTGTTTCAAAGGGGATGTGGAGCTGCTGAGTGAACAAAGATTGCAGATGCGCTGTATGAGAGAGGGAAGGAAAAGGGAAGATAGGACTGGATGAGCTGAGCATAGGGGGATGGCTTCAAATGAGTACAATAGCTCTTTTCCTGACCTTTCCCCAGGGAAGAAGAGTACTTAATAAGAAAAATGGATTTTTGTAATATATGCTATGCTGTTCCTTACATTTTACCTGTAAGAGCACTATATTAACAGAATGTCTGGTGCTAATATTTAGGGGTTTCAAATAGTTTGATGCAACATTGGAAATGTGCCAAGATGAGCAAGTTTCCTATAACTTCATGCAGAGGAAGACAACATTGGGTCTAGCAGTATCCTCTTCATTATTTGCAGTGATAACTCCTGCTGAGATAGAAACTAGGAAAAGCAACAGAATTAACATCCATCTGGCTGTTTTATTAGAATCTTTCTTTCTTTCTTTCTTTCTTTCTTTCTTTCTTTCTTTCTTTCTTTCTTTCTTTCTTTCTTTCTTTTGTCCTTGTGGACCATTTTATTGAAATATAGTTAGAGTTCAGGGATGATTCTTTAACATGTGGTTCCTTGGCTAAAATTTTGCAGAACGGGCTGAGTTCTGGGGCACATTTAAACTGAAATATACTACATTTTCATAGGTCTGCACACCATATATAAAATGTTGTTCCTCAACTAGGAACAACAAGGTACATGCAATACTGAATGTCTGTTCCTAACCAATGTCCCTGCCTTAAGACTACAGTTGGAAAAATCCAGGACTCAGTCAGGAAATATAAGGCAATCTGAAATGTGGCAATTTTGTGGCCTCAAAATCTGTTGAATCAAAATTCCTGAAATGGCACAGTTCTCAAACACCATGTTGGTGGGAATCAGAATAGTTACTCTGTACTGATTTTCCCTGTCTTTCCCAGAATTTGCCTTTATAGATTAAATTGAGAAGAAACATACTGCCACAGAAAGATTTTGTTCCAGTTTTACTGCAGAGCTGTGAATATGCTTTTCTCTGTATTAAGCATTTTCATTCTAGATAGAGCTCATTTGGGGTTAGCTTGGAGTTTTACGGAGTTTTGCAAGGGTGAAGTGCAATCAAAGTCTAATGAGAAGGGCCAGTAAGCTTATTTACTAGAAAACTTCCCCCTCTCATGCTAGATAATTAACAAGATAATTAATCTTGTGTGTGAGTGACTATATAATGACCATGCTGGGCTGAACCTATTTAAAAGCAAATTCTCTCTCCTTTTGGCAGGTGTAGGCATGGCAATGAGAAAGATGGGAAATATGGCCAAGCCGGATGTTATCATCAGCAAGAATGATGATGGTCAAGTCACATTCAAAACAGAAAGCACTTTCAAAACCTCAGAATTCACCTGCAAGCTGGGAGAAAAATTTGATGAAAACACAGTAGATGGTCGAAAAACTCAGGTAAATGAAACTGTGACCCAGAGAACACACCAAGTATATGACATGCTAAGCCAGTGATTCTAAACTGTTTCACCCACTGACCCCTTTTCCTGATGTTGAATAATGTCATTACCCCCACCAAAAAAAACAGACTCTTGTTTTTTACACAAGCTTCTCAACAGCAACAGTCCCAAACTAGATCCTTGATTTACGAATTACTCCATTACCCCCAGGATATGCCCAAGTTATCCTCAGTTTAAGAACTCTGCGTTGATCTGAATATTGCTGCTGAGTTTTGTTATAATGAACAAACTAGTTTAAGATCTTTGCCCTGGTCCCGGTGCCTAACAATTGCCCACCAGAGTACCAGCAGGATCTATCATTTGCACTGCAAATGACATTGATTGCCAGTTCTCCAAGGGGCGGAGAAGTGCATCTATGCTCAAGTAAATTTTCTCATGAGTCAGCATGATGCTGTGTGGTCTTAGTTCTTAGATAAGACTCATTTGTCCCAGTTGTTTTTACAAATCTGCCTCCTTCCAAAACCCAGTTTTGCAGCTCTCAGCCCCTCAGAAACATTAAGTGAGGCTATTGGCCACCAAAACACTGCCTACCACTGCCATAAAGAGTTAAAGCTAATATATATGGAAAAATAACGAGTTTGGCACTGGAATAAAGAGCTTCTCTAGACAGTGTGCTCAGTGATCAGGCACCACCACATTGTAAAGGGCCTCTTTTTAATTATCCGTAATCACATCTGGAGGAAGAGTTTTGCCACTGTTCCTTTGGCATACGTGTATCCCTTTGCTGTCATTTTGTGCTCATTTGAATTTTTTACAGCCAATATCTAACCCTTTGAGCTGAATAACATCTACTCTCAATATATATATGTCTGCAAAGTCCATTGCAAGAAATAAACAAACCAAAATCATGGGAATAAAGCTCAAACTCAAGAAAGTGTAGTAGAGAACAGTTTTGTAGAATGAACTTTACAAAGATTATCTTTACTTGGATTCACCTGTATAAACTAGGAGGGCTGCTCAGCTTGAGGATAATTTCTGTGTGGAGTTTATGTTTCTATATAACTTTCTCTAGGCAAGCCTTCCCCAGTCGGTGTTTCCTCCCCCCCCCCCCCCCCAGTGTCAGGCATGTAGGCAGACACCAGGTTGGGGATGTCTGCTGTAATATTTTTTTTTCTTTCTGTCATCTTTTTTGATATACATACAGAAAAAAATGTGAGTGAACAGGAAACAGTAGTTACAGTAAACAGTGTCCTTTGCCTGGGAAGAAGTAGAAAAGAGTAATTTATTCAAAACATTTCAATGTGTTTGGAAATCAGGCTCAGATCTTACATAGAATCAGGTACATAGTGTTGCTGAATACATTAAATGGATTTCAATGCTTCAGCATTGGTTATTCAAGCAAAATAATATTTTAAATTGTGCACCAATCTCTAGATGCCAGGTACTGTAGGCCTATTTTTTATTAGTATCCTCTAGTTTTCTGAAGGCTGTTATCTTTCAAGCACTGGGTGAATCATCCTGCTGATCTAGTCTAAATGCAGATGAGTTTGTACAGGTATAGTGGTTAAACAGGTCCAGATCTGGGTTGTGTCTGGATGGGAGATCATCTGTTAACCATATATGTTCAGTCTGGAGTTCTAGCGAAGAAAGAAAGGCTATAGAGAAAAACAGAAATGGGCTGGCGTGCATCCCACTGTATTATTTCTGATTTAAAGGATACTTCTTTGGTTTGGAAAAAAGAGGTCAACCATATCTGGGCTGCAAAACTGCAAATAACCACTAGTGGTAGCAAAAAGTTGTAGCTTTCTATATTTCCCTGCCAGCTAGTGGTTGCCTGGACTTTGCAGTCCAGATTTGGTAGCCCTAAGAAATAATGACACCATCACCTTGGGAAGGACTCAATGGGTAGATAAAAATGCCAAATTCAGTCTAAACATCTGGCTGACTGTATGACCACCACCACCACCACCTTATTTATTTATGCAATTTCTATAGCTGCCCATCTCAATCCAAGTGACTATTTATGTGCTGCCCATCTCCCAGCGAATAAAACAATCGTGAAAAATGAGCCTTGGGTTTATAGATTGTATTTTTTTTCTGTGGCATAACTCAGAGAAGTATGCTTCCAATTTCCCAACAGATTAACCATATTTAAAGTGATTTTTAGCTGTACCTACCCAACATACTAAACTCTGAAGTTCAGATAATGAGCATATGCTTCATCCTAATACTCCCCACCCCAGCTCTTTAAAAGAGATTTGCTGATTGTCCAGACCAGAAATGGGCCCCGTCTTGAAGGTCTAGACCAGTGTTTCTCAACCTTGACAACTTTAAGACATGTGGACTTCAACTCCCAGAATTCTAGGAGTTGAACTGGTCTAAAAACTGGGTAATCTATGGCAAGATTTGGGATACAAAATCAGATGTTCTGATACCAAAATGATATTTGTTTGTTTTTGTACCTACACCTATATTTCTTAGAAGAGTCATGTTGTAGAACCTGCTTGAATGATTCAGTGGGTTTTCTCTGAAAGTGGCTGGTCTATGGCTGATGCTAAGGAACTTGTGCTGCACGGCTTAGGATGGTAGCCCAATATGATCTTCAGAAAAGTTTCCACTAGTCTGAGATGTAGGAACTTCTACTCTGTCCCCACTGCCCACTCACAGTAGTAGGGGCAAAATCCAAGGCAAAAAGCCATTTTCTGAATGAATGAACACATACACACACACACACACACACACACACACACACACACACACACACACACATTATCCTGCCTTTATTATTTTTATAAACAACTCAAGGTGGTGAACATACCTAATACTCCTCCTTCCTCCTATTTTCCTCACAACAACAATCCTGTGAGGTGAGTTGGGCTGAGAGAGTGACTGGCCCAATGTCACCCAACTGACTTTCAAGCCTAAGGTGGGACTTTGGTATTGCTTGCCAGGATCTTTCCCTTGCCTGCCAGTTATAAGAGATCTCCAAATGGTCTATTTCTACCCCTATAGAAATGGTAGATATATATTATTCCAATTTGAGGTGCATTTGGCATCATGGGTGTCAGCAGTAGGGTCAAAAAAAGCAGTGGGCACAACTGTGTGATTGAAGCCCTGCATCTTTTTTATATGCATGTGGTACATGCAATGCAGATTAAGGGTAGTATTTTGATTGCACCTCTCGTGCCCACCATCTTGCATTTTTTTAACTCTCCCACAGGTGCTCCTGTTTGGCATTCTGTATAATCCTTTCCTTTGTTCCATCCCAACCCTGTACTCATTCTGAATCTTTAAAAAATCGTTCCTTTAAAATGCATTACAGAAAATGAATTGAGAAAAGAAAAAATATTTTCACTATCTGTTAAGATATGTCTTTAAAATAAAATAAAATGATAAATAAATCAAATATCTAATATAATGTTAAAACTATTAATTTTAGCCATTAAAAAGGAAAAAAGGCCTCAAAAATTAAGTTATGACCAGATGATGCCCACAAAATATAACCACATTTTATGCACCTTCTTCATTGCTTCATTAATTCAGATGTTAGCAAGCAATACCTATCAACAATTGCTGCAAATCAGAACTTATTCCTTCCAGTGTTTTATGCTGACATTTTTAGTCAGCTCCTATGCCTGAAAAATCCACAATTCTTGATATCTTAATAGTTCCAGACACTGTGGGTATACAGGTAGTCCTCAGTTAATGACCATTCGTTCAGTGACTGTTTGAAGTTACAAGGGTGCTGAATGAGACTTATGACCAGTCCTTGTAGTTGTGGCCATCACAGCATCCCCGCAGTCACATGATTGAGATTCGGGTGCTTAGCAATTGGCTTGCAATTATGACAGTCCCATGGTCACATGATCGCCATTTGCAACCTTCACTGCTGGCTTCTGACAAGAAAGTTATGTTTATCTTTTCATTTGTAAAATCCACCAGTTGTCTGCACTCTTTAATACGGGTAGTTCTCACTTTACAACCATTCATTTAGTGACCTATTTGAAGTTACAATGGTGCTTAAAAAAAAGTGACTTATGACCAGTGCCCAAAGTTATGACTGTCCCAGCAACCCTGCAGTCATGTGATTGCGATCTGGGCACTTGGCAACCAGCTTATATTTATGACAGTTGTAGCATCTTGAGGTCACATGATTTCCATTTGCAACCTTCCCAGGGGGCTTCCGACAAGCAAAGTCAATGGGGGAAGCTGGATTCACTTAACGATCATGTGATTCACGTAACGACCATCACCACCACCAAAAAGGTCATAAAATTGGGTCTGATTCACTTAGCGACCACCCCGCTTAACAACCTATTTTCTAGTCCCTATTGTGCTAATTAAGCAAAGACTACCTGTAGTAAACAAACATTCCCACAAAGATCTGGTTCGTTTGTCTAATTTAATTCCAATTTGTTCAAAAGCACTTTCACAAAAAAAATAATCTTTTAAAATAACTGTCCCCTTTATCCATTTTAAACTTTCTTACATTGATTCCTTGTTAAGCTTTTTATTTACATTATTGTAAATAATGTTAAGCTTTTTAATTACATTATTCCTTTGTAATTCAGAAAAAATAATAACTCGCCAGGTGGAATTTTCTTATCCTGCTGCTCAGATCTCTCTTTAGCTGTAAATTAATTACATTTGAAAGTGATTAAGAAATGAGGCCATATAGGCTGCATAACAGCTGTGAGCTTGATTGAAATCCCTTGACTCCCAGCTGCTCACCTCATGAGCTGACCACAAAAACCTCAGTTCTGCAGTCTACTCATGAGGAGCAGCTATCCACAGTGCAGGTGGGTGATCTCACAATCTCTCCTTTTTCCGGAGAGACTGCACTGGCCAGACTTTACTGTCTGGCTACCAACTAGCCCCAGTGCTGTCCCCACTCCTTCAGGGACATCTGGTTCGCCATGAATCTTCACTGGAAGCTTTTGACAAGCAAAGTCAATGGGAAAGCCAGCAGGAGGTCACAAATGGCAATCATGTGACCATAGGATGCTGTGACCATCATAATTGGTCCCAATTACTGTTGTTAACTGAGGACTACTTGCATAACTGAGAATAATATAAGCATTTTTAATTCAGAGTGAAATCAATCATCCAATCCAATATGGCAATAACAGGACAAGTCCAAAACATATGAGCTAATCACTTCCTGGGGAAGGTGGACTGAAGACAGCTCCATGTAAAGTGGAGCTGACATCTCTGGACTTTAATAAGGAGCTGATTAAGCAGCTCCTACTATCCTCCCTGGATAAAAGGGAGAGACGCCAAGATTGTCCAAGCTGTTTCTCCTTATGATTGTTCCTTTTCCTCACAGAGAGACTGCAAGACAGTAATCTCAGGTGGTGGTGGGGAATCAGGAAATGGGGGAATTTTCCATAATTGCTCAAGCCACAAATGGAGCCTTTTTTTTAAAGGACACTAAGTTTGTACAGTTCCCTTGCTAACTACCTTCTAACTGCCTATTAACTGCTTCAAAGAAGTTAGATACCTGCAAAGTGACAAGGCTGGAGATAGCCGGTGAGTGAGTGCCTTCAATCCTCAATCTAAGAATATGTAGACCTGTTTTTATAATCTTTAAGAAC